CTAACTGGGTAATGAAAGGTCTGCAAGAAAACAACCAAGCTCAGAGAGCAACAAGGATCCCACAATTTTCCTCCTCCTCCTCCTCTTTCTCTTCCTCTTCCTCATCTCCACAGTTCTCAAACCCTTCCAGCATTGATGTTATTATCTAGTGGGGTAATAAAATGTCTGCAAGAAAACCACCAAGCTTACAAGGTACCAAGGATCCCCTAGTCTCCTCCTCCTCCTCTTCTTTCTCATGCACCCCACTCCTTCCTAGCACTGATAATGTTACCTAGCTGGTAATGAAACGTCTGCAAAGAAAACAATTGAACTCAAAGACCCCTCATTTCAACCCTGATCTATACATATTTTCCTTTCTAGATAACCACGGACTGGAAAGGGGAAAATGTTACCAAACGATGGTAGAATTCCTACTCTGTGGCTTCACATTAACAGAGATGCTACCTTCGTATCGCAGGTTTCCCATATGCAGGATGGAGGCCAAAAGTTTGCAGATTTCCCAGTTCTCCGTGTCGGTGAACATCAGGACTTTCATGGCTGCCCGGATGTTGGAGTATTCTTTGCTATCGTCTCTACCGTCACAAGTAATGCAGTTGCCCTAGTGCAAGATGGAGAGCACAAAGCATTAGGGAGCCTGATAACCGACATTTCTGGTCCACAGGCAGGTCATGGCTTGGTTTGTTGAGGGTGCTTTGTTCTCCAGGCTTGTTGTTTAGATTCTGAACCTTTCGTCACCAGGATAGGTAACATTGGTTGAAGAATGGGGACCGGAAGTGACGTCGTGGCAACATCAGCAGCAAGGGAACGGAGCTCTCCGTCCCCTGCACTGGTGTTGTGGTTCACCAGAAGGCTGTGGAGATGGCAGCGGAATCGGACAGTGGGGAAGAACGGGGACCAATCTGGGAGTCTGGAGAGGACTCGGACGAGGGTCCTGCATCTGATGCAGAGATGGGGCCAGGACCATCTGGGAGTGAGGTCCTGACTCCAGAGCCTCCGGAGTCTGGCAGCAGTGAGGAAGAGGAACAAGGGGAACCTGTTCCCAGTGTGCGTGTGCTCAGAGCTGCTCGAAGGCAAGAGCAGCTGAAACAAAAGGGGTGACTTGGGAGTAAGGTTTGGAGGTGATTGCCTCTCCCATAAGGGATAAAGGACAGGCAAAGGTGATGAAACCTTTGCAGGAAGCAAAGTCTTTCGTTCTGTTCAGATTAATCCTTGAGGCTCTGTGTGGACTTTGTACTTCAGTTGGTTTTTATAGTTCATTTGGCACTTCTGTTGTTGGCAGCACTTCACAGGAAAGAAAGGTGGGTGCTTATCTCGAGAGACTTCCCCCCACTTCACTTATATTTTATAAAACATTGAGTAATTAAAATGTTCCCATTCCTTCCTAATTCAATTCTCTCATTTATTTCATTTCATTTACAGGTTGATTACAGGTTGAAATAAAACAGGAATTGTTTTAACTGAGCATGTGCTTAATTATGGTCTAGGAAGCCTTGGTCAGAACAGCTGGTTTCTTCATGTTTGTGGGCTCCAGAGAAAGCCAAAGCCACCCTGGAGGGGTGGTGAAACAAAGTAGAGGTGCCTTGTTAGGTTCCAAGGGAGAACGCAACTCCCCTGTAGAGCCCCAAGGCTATTGCTCTCTAAGCCACGTCGCAGAGAAGGGGTGGCCAAGATGGCCACCACACATCCAGAGACAGCTTCAATCTAAGAAGAGTGCAGGAATGGAGTCAGTGACAGTGTGGAGATGGGTGAGAACTATCCCTTTTCCTTTAAAATATAATGCCTTCAGGTGTTTTGGAGAATAGCTCTTCTTTTTGGAAACTCCTCAAATATTGGAAAACTGCTATCATGTCAGCCCTAGTCCTTCTTCTCATTAAACTAGTCATGCCCAATTCCTGCAACTGTTCTTGATATGTTTTAGCCTCCAGTCCCCTAATCCTCTTTGTTGCTTTTCTCTGCACTCTTTCTGGAATGTCTTGCTTCTCTGCTTTTATTGATCCTGTGGGGTCATGTGGTTGGTAGGTCATGTGATCAGCTGCTCATGTTGTGTGTGACATGCCATGTGACCAGCTGGTGATGTCGTGTGAAGGTCACCTAGCGAAGACGTGGTCGGTGCCATTATTGGTTAGTCGCTCAATGGATATGGATCCTTAAGGGCAGGGATGGCAGGGATGGCCTACTGGAACTTCTGGGAGGACCATTTTTTGCCTTCCCCAGAGTCCGGAGGCTTCCCTTGGGCCTCTGGAAGGATGAAAATGGCCTCCCATGGGTTCTGGAGGCCCTCCGAAAGCTGGAAACAGGCCCATTCCAGACTTCCAGAAGGCCCATTTTTCACCCTCCCAGAGCCTCCATGTGGACTTACCTGCATTTTTCACCCTCTCAGAGCCTCCGCGTGGACTTAGCTGCATTTTTCACCCTCCCAGAGCCTCCGCGCGGACTTACCTGCATCCAAAACAGGCCATATGGAGACTCCTGGGAGGGGTGGGGTGGGTGGGGCCAGCCAGTCAGTTTAACATCCGGTTCGCTTGAACCGGCCCAAACCGGCTGAATCCCACCCCTGCTTAAGGCGTTGGTAAGCTGGCTTCAGGTTGGTTGATCGATCCGTTCGTAGAATACCAGGCTTCGATACCGGGCATAGGGTGGCATGGCATGTCACATCACATGACCAGCCAGTCACATGACCCACCAACCACATGATATCAATAACAATGGAGAAGATCTGAACACAAGATGCTTCAGCCAAAGTCCTGTTGAGCGGGTTGCCTAGCCTAGTGATGAAACATTCAGAAACAAAACAGCAAGCCAGGGGAACAAACCATCACCGACATCTACCACCCAAGTTATAAATATTTTCTATCATGGCTTAGTTTATGACAAGGATGCAGCCTGGCTCGCTTATGAATCGAGCAGAAAAAAAGAGATTCAAAAAATTATTGTTATTTTTAACCTTTTACCATGGAAAGGTAGTTATAATCCATTGCCTTCCTAAGTCCCAGCATTTTTTTCTGCTCCGAGCTCATTCCTTTCAGCATGCAGTAAAATATGTGATAGTTTCTCTCATCTCGAGCCTGAGGAAAAAGAGAAAAGGAGAAGGGAAACCTTAGGACATAGAATAACAGAGTTGGAAGGGACCTTGGAGGTCTTCTAGTCCATCCCCCTGCTCAGAGGCAGGAAACCCTATTCCATTTCAAACAAGATGGCTGCCCAGTTTCTTCTTAAAAGCCTCCAGTGGTTTTTATTTCCACTGGTTAATTGTTTTCGCTGTGGTTGTTAAGCTAGGAATGTGGCAGTTAAGTGAATCTGGCTTCCCCACTGGCTGGCTTGCCAGCAGGTCACAAAAGGGGATCATGTGAACCAAGTCTACTGTGACCGTCATAACTACGAGTCAGTTGGCAAGCATCCGTATTTTGATCACGTGACCTTGGGGAATACCACAGCAGTTGTGTGAAAAACGGCCACAAATCATTTTTTCCCAGCGCTGTTGTAACCTTGAATGGTCACTAAATGGGCAATCATAAGTCGAGGACGACCTGTACACCTGAGGGGTGTGTGTCTGTGTCTGTAAGGTATCCTTACCTGTCGACAGACGCGGGATTTCTCCAAGAGGTACTGCTCGATTTTAGCTCCCTCAATCGCCCCTCGCTTGTTGAAATGGATGTCAATGTATTTGCCAAACCGGCTTGAGTTGTCGTTGCGAATGGTCTTGGCGTTGCCAAAAGCTAACACAAGACAGACAGACAAAGTTGTAACCAGGATTGCACTAAGCCCTTTCTTCCAAACCAGGTTTAAATGGGGCATTGAATCCAATAAAGATCCAAGGAATGGAATGGAATGGAATGGAATGGAATAGAATAGGAGAGAATAGAATAGGAGAGAATAGAATAGGAGAGAATGAAATGGAATGGAATGGAATGGAATAGAATAGGAGAGAATAGAATAGGAGAGAATAGAATAGGAGAGAATGGAATGGAATGGAATGGAATGGAATGGAATGGAATGGAATAGAATAGAATAGAATAGAATAGAATGGAATGGAATGGAATGGAATGGAATGGAATGGAATGGAATGGAATGGAATACGAATACGAATACGAATACGAATACGAATACGAATATGAATACGAATAGGAAAAGAACAGAATAGAACAGAACAGAACAGAACAGCATGTAGAATAGACTAGAAATAGAGTAGAAATAGAGTAGAAATAGAGTATAATAGCATATAGCATAGAATAGAACAGAATAGAATTGTTATATTAAAACAATCATGTTTTAAACCACCCAAAAGTTTAGAATATGGAAGAGAGAAGAGAAGAGAACATAATAGAATAGAAAAGAGAATAGAATAGAATTAAAAATAGAATAGAATAGAATTGTTATATTAACAAAAAATGTTTTAAACCACCCGAAAGTTTAGAATGTAGAACAACAGAGTTAGAAGGAACCTTGGAGGTCTTCTAGTCCAGCCCCCTGCTTAGGCAGGAAACCCTACACCACTTCAGACAAGTGGTTATCCAACATCTTTTAAAAAAACTTCCAGCGTTGGAGCATTCACAACTTCTGGTGGCAGGTTGTTCCACTGATTGATTGTTAGGAAGTTTCTCCTTAATTCAGGGTTGCTTCTCTCCTTGATGAGTTTCCACCCATTGCTTCTTAAACTGCCCATTCAGATGTTTTGGAGAATAGCTCGACTCCCTCTTTTGGGGGGGTAACCCCTCAAATATTGGAAGACTGCTATCATGTCACCCTAAGTCTTTCTTTTCGTTAAACTAAGCATACCCAATTCCAGGAACCGTTCTTTACATGTTTTATCCTCCAGTCCCCTAAGCCTCTTGGTTAACTCTTCAGTTGCAGATATCTGCTTCTCAACTTAACCAGCATGGTCAAAGAAAAAGAGCCACATTGGCCCAATGTCGGTTTGTCCGTTTGTTGAAAGGTCTGGAGTTCGATCGGAGTTATCATCTACTCCTCTTTTGTCCCCAAAAGTTACTTTTTCCCGTGCCAGGCGCAAAAACTCACCTTCCAAGATGGGGTTGGCTTCCAGGACCTGCTGTTCGATCCAGGAATGCTGACCGCTGATGGCCGCGAGGAACTGAAGGATCAACTTGGTGCTTTCGGTTTTTCCCGCACCCGACTCACCACTGCGACAATAAAAAAAAAATTTTTTTTAACGAGAATACAGATAATCCTCGACTTAGCCCCAAATTTCGGTGGCTAAGCTAAACATTTCTTAAGTGAGTTTTGTAGCCTGTTTTCTGACCCTTCTATGCCCAGTTGTTCAGTGAACACTACAGTTAATAGAATAACAGGATTGGAAGGGACCCTGGAGATCTTCTAGTCCAACCCCCACTAAGCAGGAAACCCTATACCAGTGGTGGCTATAACCTTTTTGGGCTCCTGTGCCAAAAATTGTGTGTGCGCTTGCATACTCGCGCTCGTGTGTCAGCTACCAGAAGGCAATGCCCCGTATGCATGAGCGCACAATCCCCACCCCCACCCCGCTGCTCCCTTGCACTGCGCCTTACAGCTGATTTTTGGCCAATTTGAGGCCTTTTTCAGCCTCCCAGAGGCTCGAGGAAGGCTTCTGCAAGCTTTGCAGGCCGAAAAATTGCCCCGTTTCGTCCCTCCTGGTATTTTCGGAAAAGCAGGAAGTGATGAAACGGGGCTAGTTTTCGGCCTGCAAAGCCTGCAGAAGCCTTCCTCAAGCCTTTGGGAGGCCGAAAAAGGCCTCAAACCGGCCGAAAATCAGCTGTGAGGTGCGCGCATGCGCAGTTAGGTAAGTTTGCCTGCAACTCACGTGCCGGCACAAATGCCATAGATTCCCATGCCATAGATTTGTCATCATGGCTCTTTACCATTTCAGACAAATGTCTGTCTAATTTCTTCTAAAAATCTTCCACTGTTGGACCATTCACAACTTTCAGAGGCAGATTGTTTCTCTGATTCATTGTTCTCACTGTCCTTTGTTAGTGAAGCGGTTGGTTTTCTCCATTTTTTTTAAAAAAAAATGTTTTTAGCAAAAATACAGGTGGGAATGAGCAGGTTGGATCTCTACCTGATAAAATGTGTCTACTTCAACTCCCCTGGCCACTCTGAACACCTCAAGTTTGACAAAAAAGCTGGGAAAATGAGTCTTCCTTCCCTCCTTCCTTCCTTCCTTCCTTCCTTCCTTCCTTCCTTCCTTCCTTCCTTCCTTCCTTCCTTCCTTCCTTTCTGTCATGCCCCCCCCCGTCGGAGTCTGAATCCAAGGAGGAAGACGAACAGCTGACAGGGAGTGGGTGTGTGGCTCCATTGGCTGTGGAGGAAACTGGGGAAGGGCAAAATCTGGCTGGGCAGAGCAGGGAAGAGGTAGAACAAGGGAGAGGGAGTTCACAGGAAGACCCAGGCTCACCTCCTCTTCATCCTAGGGCACGCAGGGAGGAATGGAAAAGGGAGCCAACATATTGGGGGGCATGGCTTACGAGAGAGAAAAGGCCCTGATTCCTTTCACTCGGGACATCTGTGGAGACAGTTTAAAGGAGAGGCAGATGGGAGGGGCAGTTGTTGGGAACAAACGTTGAGTTTATCTAGTGTTGGCTGCTGTCATGAGAGTTCCTGGCATCCTCACAACTGGTTTGATTTACTGCCGTGTTACTTCACTTCTGAAACTCCTTATCTTGCCCTGCTGGTTGGATTTATGGTTTAAAGTTTTCTGTTTACAATGTTTGGACTGGAATAACTGCAGCCAAAGGCTGTTGAAGGTTCGTGGGAGAGTTTTCCTTCAGACCGGAGAGTAACCGGGACATTGGCGGAAAAGTTGGAGCTAATAAAGAGACTCATACTTATTCTCTGGGTGTGTTGCCTTTGTGCCCCGCCCCGGGTCATCACACTTTCTTTCTTTCTTTCTTTCTTTCTTTCTTTCTTTCTTTCTTTCTTTCTTTCTTTCTTTCTTTCTTTCTTTCTTTCTTTCTTTCTTTCTTTCTTTCTTTCTCTCTTTTTTCTTCTTTGTTCTCTAACTCTCTCTCTTTCTCTTTTTTTCTTTCTTGGATGGATGGAAACTAAGCAAGAAAGAAGAAACCTAGAACTAAGGAGAAATTTCTTGACAGTGAGAACAATTAACCAGTGGAACAACTTTGCTCCAAAAGTTATGGGTGCTCCATCACTAGAGGTTTTCAAGAAGAAATTCGACAGCCCTTTGTCCAGAATGGTATAGGGTGTCCTGCTTGAGCACCTCCACAATATCTAATACTTGTGCAGATAATTGCTTTAGTCTGGCAAGATTCAGTCTGTAGGCAAACAGCAATAAAGAAACTACTCAGAAGTGCTCTAAGGATTGTTCTGAATTCTTTGGGCATGACACCCAACACCAAGAACTGGAGACTTCGATGGGCCCCAATATCTCCCCACTTGCCTTATAATACAACACTGGTCCCTGTTGTTCCTTTGCATGTTGAAGTAGCAATTGTCCGCGATGGCAAAAATGTGGGGGGGCATCTCCCCAATTTTTTTGTTGGTGTAGAGACGGATCTGGTCTGGGGAGTAAATGGGAAGCAGCTGGTAGGGATTTACGGCCACCAGGATTGAGCCTGTGTATGTCTGGAGAACGAAGAGAAATAAGCACACATGCACAAACGCACAGACACAAGGGTTAAGAATAATTGTGCGAGGTCAGAGTGCGGATCTGGTTACAACATCGGCCCCTTCATGATAAAGCTTAAATTATTATTATCATTGTTGCTGCAACATGATTCTAACTGCATTTGGAATGTTTGACTAGTTAATCCTTTCGATGTAGTGGAGTAGTATATTAGTAGTAGCATTCACACAGCAGCAGTGGTAGTAGTAGGGTCCGCTAGACTTGGTATTGTTGATGATTGGGTCCTGTTGTAGTTGTTTATATTATTACGTTGACAGTTTAGTAACAAATATTTTAATAAGACATCAGCTGTTATAGTTGTTTATATTATTATGTTGATAGTTTAATAACAAATACTTTAATAAGGGATCAGCAGCACTTGTCATAACATTTAACCTCATTTACTTTCATCAATGAAACAATTGGTTTTTTAAAATTATTATTATTCTCACAATTTAATAACATACTTGAGCCTGGAATCATAACAAACAAAGGGAACTGGCCTTTTATCTATTCCTGCATGGGTGGACTCCAACTCCCAGAATTCCCCCAGACACAATCGGTAGCCTTCAACTCCCAGAATTCCTTGACCCACATGGGTGGACTCCAACTCCCAGAATTCCCCAGCCAGTAATGGATGGACTTCAACTCCCAGAATTCCCCAGACAGCAATCGATAG